CGACGACTAATGCTAACGACAATAATACTGTTGTAACCGTTAATACGAGTGAATACCACGTCAGCCCTTTGGAAACCATTGGATACTTTGCACTCTTTTCTGGTATTCTATTAATTCTGATCGGAATTTCAATCATAACACACGGCTGTAGAGCGGACGCTAAGACGACTACTAATACTAATAATACTAATCCTAAGCCAAGTAACAGCCAAACAAATACACAGCGAAGAGTGTCCACAATAGAGATCGAGACACCAATCAATTCATCTGAGATTGTGGTCAATAAACCGGAAATTATGATTACTACAGATAATAATAATAGAGAAAATGTAAGCTACAAAAAGTTCCCGGTGCCCATACCCCAACCCTCTCTAATTCCCAGGGCTAGTATTAGTAATGAAGAACATATTAATCCATTGTTTACAGCAGAATATCATAAAAGATATGAATATTAAACTTAACTTTAAAATACTGTACTTAATATTGCTTTTTGTATAAATTAATTTATATATAAAAATTTAATAATCGTTAATATTATAAATAGTATACTGTATAGTTTTAATTATTGTTTTAATAAAATTTTGATTGGATCGTGGTTAACTGGTTTAACAAATCAACGATATCTATTTCAATTTTTTTGTATTTTATTTGTATAATAAATTAAAAATATTTGCTGATATTATTATTAATACAGTATTAATTATCATTCATTGTTCAGAATAATGACTTAAACATTGAAATACAACATTGTTTAAACATTTAACAATTTATATTGAATTCTAAAAATAATTTTCACTTTAAAATTTTAATTATTTGTTCATAAATGCTAGCATATAAAATGAGCAAAAATGTTGCACTTTACAATGACTTTAATTGGTAACTATTGTCTCTACAAAACAATTGTTATAAATTTTGCTAATCAATGCTGTAATCATTAATTTCACAACATTTCATCAAACAATGTGAATGTGCTATACATTCACACCAATACAGTATTGTACATTAATTATGCAATTATATATTATATGAATCCAATTTATTCTTCCATTACCTTATTTTATTTTTGTACAAATATATAAATAATAAATATCAGACACTCATAAGAAATGCTAATTTAATTTAGTTCACAAGTCAGATACAATAAAATTTATTTGAAAAATATCAATGTTAAAATTCCTTGAATCATAGTATTCAATATATACACTAATTGAAAAATCAATTTAAATGAAGAATAAGAAAATATTTTACATTTTAAATTCATATTTCAATTTGAAATTTCAAATGTTAAGTTGTTGTCGTCTGGAAAACAAATACCAAAAAACACGAGTAATGTTTTATGTAAATTTTAATTAAAACTACAGTCAAACTCATTTCCGAATCGTTTATAATGTTTTTTGCTTTTCATATGATTTCTATTATATAAAAATATGCTTCAATTTTATTTTTAATTTGAAAACAGTCTAAATATTTCATAGTCTCGTATGATAAATAAAATGAAGATTTTTTTTGGGTAATACAAATGAAATAATCATATTTTTGGCAACTTTTCAGCGGAAATCATCGGATTGTTTTGTATGAGATATCGCTTTCCTTCTTCTTTGTAATCATATGAACACAAATGAGTTTCAGAGTAACGATGTTTTGCGCAAAATATAAGACCACATCTGTTAAGCAAAATAATTCATTATATTCATCATTATTTTGTTATAAATTATAATATTAATGCTAAATATATCTTAAATAAATTTGCTAATATTTTAATTTTACTGTAGAGTATAAAGTCATTAAACGTAAGATATACACTGTATATTATACAGATACAGAGAAAATTAAAAAATTCATTTCAATAAAAATAAAAGGTGTAAGAAAATATTTATTATACTAGCGATAATATTAAAATAATATAAATCATTATTTAAAAGCATAAAAATAATTTGCCATAAATTTTCTAAAATAAAATGATAACTTATAGGCAACTGTTAGTTAAGTGCCTTTGGGTTAGTTATATAATACTAAGACTTGGAGTTTTTAAACTTTTACAGATTGTTTCAGTTAATCCTTATCTGCACTTATTATAAATCAAAATTTGTCTCAAAGTCTAATAAATGAAAAAATAAAAACACTTCCAAAAATAGGTGTTCGCATATTGACTGACATTTATTAATGTATTTTCTCTCAAACCTCTATAATATATGAAATATAGGAATAACTTATCGATAAACATGTGTGAACTGACCTGCAATGAAATCTGTTAACTATGGCTAATTTGATCCGACATTGAGAGCAGCGAATCCTTTTTGCGGTACTTTTTTTAGATGTGCTCGAAATCATAGGTAATCTTTTGCTGGAATTTAATCTTTTCGTCGTTTTAGTGGAGTTTTGTTTGAATAGCAAATCTGTGCGAATGTAAGACTCGGTTATCGATAATCTATTTCTTAAATTTATATCTCTTTCATTAATTTTCTTAACGATCGGTGCTGTGAGTGGTCTCCTTCTTGGCAGTGAGTTATTGGTCACATTCATCATGAGTGCCAATCGATTCACTTCTTTGTCGTGTAAGAGTCGGTGGTGTGGTATCGATGAATGTCTTCTGTTTGATGAAATACTTTTCGTGTCATTCAATGACATCACTATTTGTTTCGTAAAATTGAATTGTTTTTCACATTTTGTCGATTCATGCGATGAGTTTCCGCTCGACTTCGATGTATTGGAAATCTTTGGCAAATGAATGCCTGCATTGCCTCTCACGCTATCAGTCTTTAGTAAATGATCACCATGGTTAGTTCCCAAATGAGGCAATTTTGATACATTTGTCGTCTCATTCGAGCCATTATTGTAATTAATTAGTTGTTTTGAATGCATTTTGTTAGCATTTCTTTTAAACAAAAGTTTAGTCTGTATTTCATTCACTTTTTGCTTCATTTCTATGTCCTCTTTCTCTCTTAGATTTAATTTCTCAAAGTCTAGGGTTTCGCTCAATTGGTCGCCCGACTCGTTAGTCCGAGTCTTCACCTCACTTTCATTTCCAGACATATTGTCCTCAGAAGCGATTGAAATGAGTTTTATTTGATCCAAGTTTTGCAATAATAATAAAGTGTTTAGAAATGGTTTAGATTCGTAAATATCATCCTTAATGTCATCTCTTTTATCGTAAATGTCTGGACTCCTGAAGACGGGTCCAGTGATGAGTCCGATAACTAAACGCATTTGAGCGCCAAATCCGATGCCGCAGTCATCGATGGTCTTGTCGTCGATGAGCTCCTTGTAGTGCCAAATGAGGTGCTGTTGACTGACTGGTATGCCTTCAGTGTTCTCTAATTGTTGCTTAATTTGATTGATAGTATCCGAGGGAAAGACATCGACTCGGAATGTAATTCCAGTCATAGACTCAATATATACTGGAAATCGCATATTAATGACTGATTTATGGATCAGTTCTGAGTCCACTTCTAAAGGCATATCATTTGTATTACTTATAGAGTTTTCATACGAAACACTCGACTCTTGTCTATCATCGATAACCGATGGAAGTCTTGAAGACATATTTATTGCACACTATCTGTGATATTATTCACAACTTCTTATCACATCTAAAATCACTAAATAAAATAAAACACATACAACTGATAATTGTATAAAACTGATAAAACAAATAAAGTTTTTTGAAAAGAATTTTTTAAATTAAAATTTGATATATTCTTTGCAATGCATAGAATTTTATTGAATTAAATAATTGAAATGAATAATTGAAAAAATGATTTTGTTATACATATGTGATGCGTTTATATATAAAAATATTTTCCGTCAATATTATGATGTTATTATACTGTTATCCATGGAAACTAACCAGAATTAAACTTCATATAAAAAACTGAATATGTATGTCTAGTATACTGTATTATAATATAATATATTATATTCTTGCTTCTATATTATTATTAACAATATTTGCTATAATCTTTTTTAAAATTTATATTTATTTAGATGTATAAATATTTATTCTGTTTAATGAATTAAATATAGTTTTAAGCAATATAACTAAAAAAGTATTTTTTAAATGTACTTTAATAGGGCATACCAAACATTTATTCTTATTGTTATTTCCCATTTGTGGACAATTAGGCTGACCTTCACTGCTGTTTAACTGATAAAAAAAAGTTTCAAAAAATAAAATTCATATCATGCCTTATATAAATTAAATGAATTCATTTATAAATATAGTACAATGCGGTCATTAAAGTTTTTAAAAACGTTTAATTTATATATAGTAATTATACGTATCAAGAAATAATAACTAAATAATCAAGACATTAATTATTCATTACTGTATATAAAATCATTATTATTCAGATCTAATTATTTGATGAATGTTGCATTTAAAATATTTGTTATCAATTTCTAAATATATATATTCTTTAATTATATGAACACTAGAGTAATGGGTAAACTTAGTCTGATAAGTTATTTACGGGTTTTATTCTCACAGTTAAAGCAAATGAATTGAAAATATAAAGTCAAACACATATATACAGTACTTTGTATAAAACAAATGCAATATTTCTTCATTGAGATTGTCATCACTGATAGCCTCTGTCTTAGCTATAAGTTGAATGTCTTTAATATTTCAGATGACATTAATTGAAAATATTTGTATTGATTTTATAGATTAACCACTCTTCTAATGGCAATAAAGGAGACATTTTTGTTATAAATTATATAATTTACTAGATATTCAAGTGTCGGAGCCGATGGTGACGTAACCGTTAAGTAAAGTTTAGCCCTATTTTTGTACTTAATTATTGTCGACAAATAAATTTCGATTAAATCGCAAAGGTTTCATAATTAATAAATTGTCTATTTTTATCGTCTATGCTATCCGGAGACTTATGGCTAATTGAATTTGCTATTCATTTACGTACACAGATATGTGTTTACTTAAAATATATTTCAAATTAGTAACTAAATAATCAAGACATTAATTATTCATTACTGTATATAAAATCATTATTATTCAGATCTAATTATTTGATGAATGTTGCATTTAAAATATTTGTTATCAATTTCTAAATATATATATTCTTTAACACTAGAGTAATGGGTAAACTTAGTCTGATAAGTTATTTGCGGGTTTTATTCTCACAGTTAAAGCAAATGAATTGAAAATATAAAGTCAAACACATATATACTGTACTTTGTATAAAACAAATGCAATATTTCTTCATTGAGATTGTCATCACTGATAGCCTCTGTCTTAGCTATAAGTTGAATGTATTTAATATTTCAGATGACATTAATTGAAAATATTTGTATTGATTTTATAGATTAGCCACTCTTCTAATGGCAATAAAGGAGACATTTTTGTTATAAATTATATAATTTACTAGATATTCAAGTGTCGGAGCCGATGGTGACGTAACCGTTAAGTAAAGTTTAGCTCTATTTTTGTATTTAATTATTGTCGACAAATAAATTTCGATTAAATCGGAAAGGTTTCATAATTAATAAATTGTCTATTTTTATCGTCTATGCTATCCGGAGACTTATGGCTAATTGAATTTGCTATTCATTTACGTACACAGATATGTGTTTACTTAAAATATATTTCAAATTAGATAATGAATTATGTGTTAAGCAATCATTAATTTATTCGTGTGTTTATCGCAAAAGTGTTTGCGAAGTGTTTTTGACTTTTTTGTTGTTTTTAAATAATTAATACTAACTAACGTGTATTCAATACACTGTATTGACTTAACTCGTAGCCAATGATTTAAATAATTTAATGGTATGTATAAAAATAAAATTTCCAATTCACTCTTATATAAAATCAATATTGTGAAAAAAGTGTTCATTAAAAAAGTAATTATTGAATGCAAATCATCATGAAAACTTCATTTTGAAGTTTATTTTAATTTATTTATTTAAACAAAACCTTATTTCTATAATTGAATGGGTGTTTAAACTATACAAAAGTTTGCATAAATATGTGTTTTAGTTATTCACCAGAATTACTCCTTAAAACATATTTGGAGTTTAAATTAGATTTTTAAATCAATTTAATATTTATTAAAATTACTACATAGTAATTATTATTATTGATAACCCATTTATTTGTTGTGTATATAAAATATTTCGGAAATGATTAATCGCTTTGATAATAGTTTTCACAGCATTTATTTTATTAAACCAAAAAACAACAAAATCAATGAAATGATAAGCAATTATTATAATAGATATGATTAATATGTTTATCTAAAATATTGTTTTGTTAACAACTATTATATTAATGTTTTTAGAAAACAAAAAGTGTATTAAAAAGCGATGAATCATACATTCATTTCAAAGGATTAGTTGTGTTGTATAACAATCCTAATTGTTTGTTGGGTTTGTTAAGGAGTTGCGGGTATGTCATGAAATCACAGGTAGTTTTGGGAATCGTTTACCTTTAAAGTTGTTCTCAGAGTTGGAGAGAGAGAGAGAGAGAGAGAGAAAATAAGACAAGATTTGTGCGAAAGTTCACAAACGAGACAATCGTATAAATAGAGGCATCCCTTCAGACATTCATTTGCTATTTCGATGGCATATAAAGCAAAATAAAAGTTACTTTTAATAGAGTCGGCATTCTTTGCATCACTTTTATGTCAATCTTATATAAGGAGTGAATTGAAACGAGAGATAGGATTACATTGTATTCATTAAATGTAACGAATATCTCGCAAACATTGTATAAAAAATAAAATTTATATACATTTTCATTAATAGCATTGCGGATAATGAGATGTACTTGATCATATTCTGGTTGCCTGGGCTATTGTACTTTCAGTTGTTCACACATTTTCATAACATTTAAAGCAATAAAATGTGTTTTTTATATTCAATTACATATCAATAGTTTAATTATATATCAAAAGCGGATTTATTTTAATCGCTTTTAAATATTAAAATGTATTTTTAGGAAAAGTATATTTCAATGAATAATTTAATTGCGAATATAAGCCATAAATTGGGTGAAACCACCCATCGGTTTACAGTTCATTGAATGACATTATTTTCTATGCATTCATTCATTCATTCATTCATTCATTTCTATTTCCATTTAAATCTTTTAGTTTTTCAAATGTCTTAAAACGTGCTCTAAATTGTGAATTCAAGTCCACAACCAGTTCCCAGCTCTCTCTCTCTCTCTCTCTCTCTTTCTTTCTCTCTCTCTCTCTCTCTCTCTCCTCTTATTATATTCAATACTTGACTCCAAAATAATTCATTCATTCATCTATTTATTCAGTGAACCAGTCTTTGTCTCACTTTATACTGTATATCATTTCATATCAAATGGTATTCATCTTAAAGTCCATCATTTATTACAATTTTTATTCAATACAGTCTTTAGTTCAGTTAATACTCGTTGTTATAATAAATGACAATTTTATCTATTATTCAAATGAGCTAAATATTTATCACGTGTTAAATATTAAATAAAACAAATACCAATTGTGTGAATACAATTCAATTTATAACAGTAACTGGCGCTTAATGTTTGATGTTTTTCAATGATATTAGCCTTTAATATCATATTTAATAGAAATTCAGACATCACTTGAAAATTACAAAAGAATTGAATGGCTTTTAGTCCATAATTTTTGTCATACTTTTCTCGTTTCAATTTACTGAAGCATAAAATTTTTTGATACTTTGAGAATACAAATCATTTTTACGAAAATCGTTATCTAGTTGTCAATAATTTTTATTTTGCAATTCACTGGTTATTCCGAGAAAAAATTGTATTATATTTTTTGTCAAAAGATTATAGATTGAAGTCATCAATGAAAATGGATTTTTACATTATTAGAGAATATCAACAAAATATAATGACTTTTATCTGTTTAAAACTATACTCTATTTTTAATCAAATTATATCAAATCGATTCATTTAATCAAAATATTATTCTAAGTCTTTATATTTGTATTCATAGCGAACCACCACTTTTGCAGTGGGAATATAATGCTAACAAAATAATATATAAAATACTAAAATACCTGAACATTTAGGAGTAATTTATGGTTAAGTGTATTGCAGTTCATCGCACATAACAAATATTACGATTATTATGAGCACATCCTCTCATGTCTTATACAATGGTTTACGACACCGAAGAGACCTTACAATTAATGTGTTAGTTATGTCACAAATTACACGCCCGGCCATAAAACTGCCCACTATTTTGCCACATAATTATGCCTTAATTATATTCATATTCATATTAATCACTTATTATCCATCATTTTAAAAGTACTTACAAGTTAATATATAATTTAATTAAATTACTTTACTAGATTAAAAGCATTTAAAACTTAAGCAACATATTTTATCATATTTAGTTAGTTATTCATGAAAACATGGGTCCAAAGTGTAGGTATACCCATTACATACAAAATATGGTCAATCATTACATGTTTTAATGGTTTGAGTGATAAAAGTGTGAAACTGGAGGACAAAGCAATTTTGACAATCACTTGAATCTTCACAATGAAGGAGTGTTGACTTTATT